TCCAGTATTCTGGCCTGGAGAATTCCGTGGATTGTATAGTCCATGGGGTCGCAAAGAGTTGGACTGAGGTTTAGCATCCCATCTTATTTTATTGCCAAAGGAAAAATGTTTAGACTGTGATTAGACTGTATTTCTATTTTTTGTTTTTTTCTGTAGCTTTAATTTTCACCCCCACCCTGGCTTGAAAAAGCAATATGTGCTTATTTTTTAAATTTCTTAAAAGTACAAAAAAGTATAATGAAGAAAGCAAATATCATTAGTAATTCTACCTAGAGATGACAATTCTTACCATTTTGGTATAGGCTTTCGTGTCTGTTTTGCTATTCAGAGTTTTATCTCCCAATCCCTCATCCTCATACATTCTGATTTTTAACTTGCTCTTTCTTCATTTAATATGTTGTGAATCTCTTTCTGTATTAATGGATATTGGTGATAAATTTAAATTGTAAGATGTTTAAAGACAATTTTACCCTGAGACTATTAGAAGTATGAATTAAAATTCTTAAGATGCTATTAGTTACCAATTTTTTTTTATCAGTTTTCCTTTTCTTTAATTATGTACTTCCTGAATTGTATTAATATGCAGTTGGTGGTTTTACTTCAATAGCTGTCTCACATCTCAGTGACTGTCCTGAAGGGTATTTACCATAGAACAGTGTATGCGAGGCTTCCCTGGTGGTCCAGTGGTTAGGACTCTGCGCTTCCACATCAAGGGTCATGGGTTCAATCCTTGGTCATGGAACTAAGATCATGCAAGCCTTGTGGCATGGCCTGAATGAGTGAACGAATGCATTTGGCTTTGCTGTTATTTATATGGCTTTGGTATATATACTTTAATATAAAAAAATGAATCAGTGCTTTCTAGTTCAGTGAAACGTCTTACTAATTTTTGTCTTTTAATGAGAATGGATATTATACAAATAATTTAATATTGCTGTACATTAGATTTGCAGTTGAAGTTATGTCATAATTAATAAGAAATCATATTGCATTAGTGATCCTTTTCCACTGAAGGTAGAACCATCATTATATACTAAGCCAGCATCTGATGGTACAAGGGATGGTTTCATTTTTTTAAAGAATCTATTCATTCAGAGACTTTGGAGTGATATGAAAATATTTCCATATTCCTTATTTCTTCCCTAACATGAAATAACTTCTTACTTTTTGTGGGTGTCACATAACAAAAGAACGTGTGATTTGAAATGACTGGAATTCAAACCAGAAATTGCATCCCAGAAACTTTTGTTCTAAAGCCTGAAAATTTGTATGTGCAGAAGAATCCCTGAATACCAGCTGCTAAATAATTTCTACGCTATGTCTGTAGATGCATGCTGAGTTTCCCATGAGCAATCTTTTATAGTGAATTCCATCTTCTAAAGCCCTTTCTTCCTTGGTCTTTTAAATCTGTTTATGCATAAGTATACAGAGATAGTATTTTGAAGTAAAAAGCAAAGTCTGATAGTAAGATATATATACATATTTATATTATTTATATTATATTTAAATATACATTGTATTTATATTATATACATATTTATATATAGATGTATATTTATGCGTGTGTATACTTATCTCAAATCTGTTAAAAATTGGATAGAGAATAATTATGACAGAAAAAGCAAATGTACCAGCACCCTAGGATTTAATACTTATTTTGTTTGAACATTATATTCAATTCTGAGCTTCTGGGCAACCAGCAAAAAGGGAGATATAATTGTTATCATATGATCAGAAGAGGTAAACTATTTCTTTTTTCTGAATTCTGAAATTCATTAGCATAAGCCAGCTCTTCTCAGATTGTGAATATGGAATACTAGTTCTGCAGATATTAACAGATATCAGGAATAAGTTTAAGGAAATAATGGGCTAAGTTAAATTAATAGGCTTTTCTATGTTGTTTTTTTTTATTTTTTATTTTTATTTTTATTTATTTATTTATTTTTAAACATTTATTTTTATTTATTTGGCTACATAGAGTCTTACTTGTGGCATGTGGGATCTAGTTCCCTAACCAGGGATCGAACCCAGCCCCCCTGTATCAGGAGCGCAGAGTCTTAGCCGCTGGACCACCAGGGAATTCCCTGTTGTTTTTTTTTAAACTGGAGAAAAAGTTTAATAACTTGGAAAACTGAGTAATTCCTTCTATGTTTTCTTACAACCTTAAATGTTCCTGATTATTTTGCCGTGGAAATACTAAAAGTTAACAATAAACTTTGCAAAGTGCTATCCTGAGTCTTTAAACAACGTGATAGACTGTGCCTTCAGTACCATTTTTGCAGGTATCAGAAGGCTTTTTACTTGACCTGTTCTCATGTTGATTTGAATCTCTTTGAAACGCCACCCAGGGCAAGGTTGACTTCTTCAGGAAGACTAGATTCTACCAGGAGAGGCAGCGTTTGGAACGCACGTGCAGGAGGGCCTTGGGAGCTGATGTTGCTGTTGTCGGCCAGTCTGCTGGCCCAGCGGCTGGTCCGAGTCTCTCAGGTGCACTGCCAGTCTAGACGGAGGCTGATTTTCTTTTTCCAAGTGCAGCCTGAGCCTTCACAGTCCTCATCTCCTAGGGCGGCTGCTCTTTTAATATGTGCAAGGGCAGGAGTCCTCCGCCTCCTCTCCAGGGGCCTGCTGGGACTAATTAGTTTGAAAACGCTGGTAGCAGCATGCTTCCAGCCCAGTCCCCACGTGTCTGCCCCTCTGCTCAGTTTCGCTGCTCTTCAGCCTGTTGCCACCCACTTCTGCTCCCTTAATCAGCCCTCCTTTCCCCTCTCTGTTTTCCATCTCTCTGTTTTCTTAGAACACTTGTTTATGGGAAACAAATTGTCTTCTGGTATAATAGCCTCCATGTATGTTTGCTTCCACATTTCAGTTGAACGTTTCTTCAATCCCCTGGCCTTGAGTTGATTCAGCTCCCATCTTTCGGTTGCTGCTGCTTTTTTTCTCATCTGCCTCATGGGTAGGAGATTAGACCGACTGACCCACCTTCTCTTCCATTCTCAGTGGTACATCGGGACTATTATTCTTCCACTGTTTCATTTAACAACAAACCAAACAACACAGTGATTCTTCCGTTCCTTTGAAGCTCATGACTTTCAACTTTCTAATTTATTGCTGTCAAATTTTTCTCATTCTTTGAAGAGTTTGGTGCCTCGATAATGGTCTCCATTTTTACCCCAAATCTTGCTGCTGTCTGGTAGTATAGCCTGTCAGTCTGTAATTTCCTCAACTGTGAATTCATCTGGACTTCATTTTTTTATGTGGTGTGCAGTAGTGCTCCATTCTTGATGATCCACTAGTTGGGAGTCAGTGATAGTCACTTACATCAATACATCAATAAATCTATTGACAGTAACTTGGTCATTGGAAGGATGACTAATGACCAAAGTCATTTTAATGTCTATGAAGTGAAGTGAAATGAAAGATGCTCAGTCATGTGTGACTCTTTGCAACCCCATGGACTGTAGCTTGCCAGGCTCCTCTGTCCATGGAATTCTCCAGGCCAGGATACTGGAGTGGGTAGCCATTTGCTTCTCCAGGGGATCTTCCCGAGCCAGGTCTCCCACATTGCAGGTGGACTCTTCACTGTCTGAGCCACTGGGGGAGATCAGTTCAGTTCAGTTCAGCCGCTCAGTCGTGTCCGACTCTGCGACCCCAGGAACCGCAGCACGCCAGGCCTCCCTGTCCATCACCAACTCCCGCAGTTCACCCAAACCCATGTCCATTGAGTCGGTGATGCCATCCAACCATCTCGTCCTCTGTCGTCCCCTTCTGCTCCTGCCCTCAGCCTTTCCCAGCATCGGGGTCTTTTCCAATGAGTCAGCTGTTTGCATCAGGTGGCCAAAATATTAGAGTTTCAGCTTCAGCATCAGTCCTTCCAGTGAACACCCAGGACTGATCTCCTTTAGGATGGACTGGTTGGATCTCCTTGCAGTCCAGGAGACTCTCAAGAGTCTTTTCCAACACCACAGTTCAAAAGCATCAGTTCTTCAGTGCTCAGCTTTCTTTATAGTCCAACTCTCACATCCATACATGACCACTGGGAAAACCATATCCTTGACTAGATGAACCTTTGTGGACAAAGTAATGTCTCTGCTTTTTAACATGCTTGTCTAGGTTGGTCATAACTTTCCTTCCGAGGAGTAAGCGTCTTTTAATTTCATGGCTGCGGTTACCATCTGCAATGATTTTAGAGCCCAGAAAAATAAAGTCAGCCACTGTTTCCACTGTTTCCCCATCTATTTGCCATGAAGTGATGGGACCAGATGCCATGATCTTAGTTTTATGAATGCTGAGCTTTAAGCCAACTTTTTCACTGTCCTCTCTTACTTGCATCAAGAGGCTCTTTAGTTCTTCACTTTCTGAAATGAAGTGATTGACTAATGAAAATTTTTAGGAACTTGTGTTAAAAAATATTTAAATTTGATAGTAATGAATGATAGTTGTTCCTGAAATGGTGGGATCTGGTTTTATCATCATATTAATTCAAAGAAAGGGGTTAGCTGTTCTGTTCACTGTTGTATGGTAGAAGGGACCCAGGATATGTTGAAGTCTGGGCATTTGCCGATCACTTACTTTCTTTTTTCCTACTGCAGAGTGGAGACAGCAGCACCTAATCCATATAGCTGTTGAGCCAGTAAAATGCAGTAATTAAATATATGTGTGGTTGTGTGTTTTATAAACTTTGTTGTCTGAAGTTTAATAAAAATTAGAGAATGCGTCTCTCCTAAGATGGCTTATAAGATTGCTTTTGAATATCACATTGTTTTCATAAAAAGTTTTGATTTCTGTATACCCTGTGTTTTTTATAGGAAGCAAAAACTTAAAAAAAGTAAAATTTATTATTTATGGTACTTTAATCTGAATGATGGTGGAGGGGGTACTCTGGTGAACATTATTCCAGGTAGCTATTGCAAGTCTAAGGAAAAACAGTTTAACTGTTATTTCTTATGACCCTATTCTTGAATTATACTGTTAATATTACTTTCTTAATGTTTCATTTACAGGTATATGATGTTGATTGATGGCACAAATGAAGTTTTTATGATTGATAGAGATAATTCAGTGTTTCATGTTTCAAATCTGGAATTTCCATTTCGTAAAGATCTCCGTATGCATTTATCAAATACTCTCTTAGATGGGGTAAGTCATATTTTTATCTTTTTTTTTTTAAAAAATCAAACATTGCTATTTTTCTTTCTTGTGCAAGTAAATGTATATTTTTTATAATTAAACAGGAAATTTAGAATCAGCTCCAGTTTTTTAAAAACTTCTTTTTATTGATGTAGAGTTGACAGTTAAAAAATTGAATGTAGTTTTTACTAAGATGTTTAATTTCATTTATTTCATTTCCTACACTTACTGTCACTTGATTGTTGTCTTAGATACAGAGTAAGCAAGCAAAATTCAGTCTTAATTTTTTTGTTCTTTGTGATTGAAAAAAAAATTTATTGAAAAATATTCATTTTATTTTATGGTTTTACTTGTTGATTGAATTTTAATTGTGTGATATGACATATCACGCTTCCCTGGTGGCTCAATAGTAAAGAATCCATATGCAATTGCAAGAGGCGCAGTAGCCGTGGGTTTGATCCCTGGGTTCAGAAGATCCACTGCAGGAGGAACTGGCAACCCACTCCATCATTCTAGCTTGGAAAATTCCATGGACAGAGGAGCCTGGAAGGCTGTAGTCCATCGGGTCACAAATAATTGGATGTGACTGAGCATGAACACGGTGATATACACATTTTCCCTTGGCTGTTTAGCTATAGGGACTGATAGTTCTTATTGAAAGAGGATTGTGCCTTTGAAAGCAGCCACTGTACTTTTACATTTGAATTTTGGAAACTGTTAAGAATTTTCCCATTCAGAAAATCTATATTTAATAATCATAAAATTACTTGATTAAAAATATTTTATCTTTCTCCTATATGAATAGCTTTCTTTCCCCCGATTCTAAAAGTATTAATTCATTGTAAATAAAAATTGATATAATACAGAACAATACAAAAAAGTTGGTAAAAATCAGCTGAATACCCACTACTGGAGGAATTTCCATTATCATTTTGATAAACATTATTCCAGAGTTTCTTTCCTCTGTGCCAAAATGTTCAGTCTGACACCTGCTTTTGAAGGATTCGTGTTTATATTAGTAATAGTAACTCAGAACAGAGATTCTTAAACAGTATATGTATCAGGATCTCTGGGGAAGTTGGAGATCCTTCCAGTCCCAGTAAGATTCTGAGTACAGGTACCTCTGCCCTGGGGGAAAATGAGTGCTTTGGTCAAATATGTACCCACATGGATAGTTATTGCATAATTTTGCATGAAAAGATCTGAATGTGTTTTGTAACTTGTCTTTTGTTTACTTAGCAATATGTTTTGGACCTTTTTCATATAAAAGTCTGAGTAATAGGCCACTGTATATGCAAACACTGTAATTTGGGGTTTTCAAACTATCTTGATTATGAAAATGATAGGGGATAATAGTGAAAAAAATATGATAGCCTGTCCTAGACCTACTGAATTAGACTCTCCCGGGGGCCAAGGTAGTTTTTTTTTTTTTTTAATTTATTTTTTAATTGGTGGGAATTTACAACATTGTGTTGGTTTCTGCCATACAACAATACAAATCAGCTGGAACTATGCATTTGTCAGCTTCCTCTTGAACTTTTATTTTTAACAAGTGTCCAAGTGACTCTAAAGGCCAGTTTGCAAACAATTCTATAATTAATTCAGCTAGTCCTTTTTTTGGTGGACATTTAGATTTTTTGGTAGCTTTTTGTATTAAAAGACACAGAATGCATATCTTTATACCTTTTTCTTTTTACAGTTGTGCAGTTTTATAATTAAGATTCTTAGACATGAGACTATAACATGCATTTAAAAATCTTTTGAGTACAAGTAATTGAAGTCCATCTTAAAGTAACTGAGGAAACAAGAACTAAATTGGCACAAATAATTAGATTTCAGCTTGATTTGCTTCAGACTGGATCTGGAGACTCAGGTGATATTGGCCAGGCACTGTCTTTCTCTCTCTCTGTTTGCTTTACTTGTCCGTTCTCACTGTGTGAAGATTCTTTCCACGTGGGGGGCGAGTTGCGTTGCAACTCAAGCAGAAAGGGAACTTCTCCTAGTATCCATATATCAGTCCCAGGGAAGACTCCAGAGGGCCTGGCCTGAGTTACGTGTAAATCCAGGGAAGATTTGATGGTGGAGGCCAGGAGCTCATTGGCGGCAGTACCACTTGGGATACGGGAGGAGCAGCCCTTCCCGGGAAGGGGCAGTAACAGGCTATACTGTACTGCGGCGACGACGCTGGCTTTGAGAGCGCTGACCATTTTAAACACTTGACGTGTATGATTACCACTCTTCTTTCCAGAGAGTTTGAAAACATGTACAGGATCTGTATACTGGGTTTTGAAAATTTAAAATCTTCTAATGTTAACTGACTCTTTCATTTTAGGGGATAATATAGCACAGTGGTTGAGAGCCCTGACTCTGACTGATGGTGCCTGATTGGTTTCACAAGCTATGACATGAGGGCCCTCCTGCGGTTTACTTGGTTCCTTCTGTAGTGAAGTTAGGCTAAGTTCTTGGTGCTGCTGTGAAGGTTAAGTTGGATGGGTTGTAAAGTGCTGATAATAGTGTTTGACACATAGTGATATTTACCTCTTAATTTATGTGAACTGTTAAGGAGGTTTAACATTTTTCACTTATGACTGTGTTTAGTATGGTACAGAGTTAGGGTATTTCTTTTGTGAGTTGCCCAATCAGATCTTTTATACATTTTCCTATTGGATGTTCATCTTTTTCTTATTGGTTTATGAGATGTTTTGTTTATTGGGATATTGCTTTATGACCCATATTTTAGAAAAATGTGTTTTTTAATTTTTTCTGGTGTTTTCTGTGGCACAAGTATAAATTTATGTAGGTAAATTATGAGCACCTTGGTTTTTTTTCCTAAATTTTTGTTGGAATATAGTTGATTTTAAAGTTGTTGTGTTCATTTTAGGTGTCCAGCAAAGTGAATCAGTTACACACACACACACACACACACACACACACACACCTACTATTTTTTAGATTCTTTTCTCTTGTAGATCATTAGAGAGTATTGAGTTCCCTGTGCTATACAGTAGGTTTTTTTTTTTTTTTTTACAGTAGGTTCTTATTAGTTATCTTTTTAATAGTAGTTAAACACTTTGGTTTTTAATATTTGGCTTTTGTGCCATTTTAAGAGATATTTTTACTTAAGAATTACTATAATACTCACCTATATTTCCTTCTAATACTTTTATGATTTCATCTGTATATTTAAATATTTGATCTATCCATGATATATTTTGGTAAAAGGAATAAGATAGGGATACAGTTTTATGTATTTCCCAATGTCTAGTATTGCCCCAGCATCAGTCAGCTAATCTTATTTTTCCTTTTAAATTACATAGGTCATTTAAAAATTATGTATAGGATTTCCGTATATCTTTCTTGATTCACTCTCCTCTTCCGCTAATATTTAGGACTTCCAGTGGTAGTTTTAGGTTGACTTAAATGCTATAACTTTAGCATACAATTTAATGTCTGATTGTGTAAGAATACCCAATATTCTGGCTCTTCTGAAGTTTACCACTTAGATTTTATTCTTTTTTTTAGCTTTTGGTGAACAAGGCTATTTGAAAAGGTAGGCTGAACGAGTATGTTACACTCTGTAAAACAAGCCGCTTGCCTTTTTCTCTGCAGAGTGATATCTGGTAGGCTTGGTTCTGCACTCCTTATATTTCTGTTTGCTCTGCCTGGTCCTGTGGTTTATCTGTCTGCCACACCTTCACTGTTTCTCTTTGGAGGGAAAAGGAACTCTGTATCTTTCTTATGACTTCCCACAACTTTTAAGTCTCTTTTCTACTGAGATACCACTGGTGTTCTTTAATATTTCTTCACTTTTTTCAACACTGAACCTTTTTCGTGAGGTAGATTAAATTATATCTGACTAATAGTCCCTGGAATTTGTATGAGAATGGCTTCTGTCTGAAGATGAAACTTGCTCCTCAAGTTTGGGGTTGTGCTAGCAGGTAGATATTGGAAGACTAGGGAGTAGCTTGTGAATGTCTGTTTAAATGCTCAGTGAGAGAAGAACCCTCATGAAAACCACATGCATAAAATGTGTATTTATGTGTTTAACTGAGGGAGTGACACTTTCTAAGTGACCTGGATGCTTGCTGCCCCGTCTCATGTGCTTTCAAAAAAATTTGCCAGTTGTATATGGGCTTGTGCTGGCCAGAAGATGGATAACTGTGGCTGGGAAATGAGACAGTTTGAATTCGTCACTTGTGAGGTATAGTTTTAAGTGCTTAGAAGGTTCAGGCTGTGACCTAGAGAAAGTGAGAGTTTGAGGTTGTATGGAAAAGAGCACTGGACATGAGATCAAAGTTTTCGATGGGGCCTAATGAGTGATGATAGCAGTCCAGGTGAAGAGGATGACAGGGCCAGGTACTAAAGATGGAGATAGAGGGAAGAAAGTCATATAGTTGGTTGAGATTGAGTAGCAGAGACTGAACAAAGAGTAACTGTAGTCACAGAGTCACCTGTACCGCATATCTGTGAGGCTCCTAGTAAATGTTCATTCCCGTGACAGTGTGTGTGTTAAAATACTTCACATATACACGTAAACTTTTTAACATGTTTGTGGGTGTGTGCATGTGCACACACACCCCCCTTGTGGTTGACTGAGCCACTGCGTAAGATTGGGAATATTGTTCACTGCACATCTTCCGGGTGTGCCCTTCTTGTCCTGGTTGATGTGACAGGCATTCCTGCAGTTGTGCTGTCCATAATCTGCATCCCCAACACCACAGCTGTGGTAATTAGTTCATGGGAACAACAAGAACATTTATTTTGATTTTTGTTGCTTTCATTTTATCTGTTACTTTTTTTTTTAGCATTGTGATTCATAAAATAAAAGGAAGAAAAAGACTCTGAAGTTATAGTGTTTGCCAAAGTTTAGTGTAGTTCTTCATTCCTGGCATGTGCTGTGCCAAAGAGTGCAGGTAGCACTTAGAAGGTCGAGGAGAAGCCTCACCTTGGAGACACTGTGCTTCTTTGGGGAGGGATGGAGAGTGATGGGTGATGAATCAAACAATAATCTGAAGATGGGTATTTAAAACAAGGTCTAGGGTGGTTTAGAGGAGAAATGAATCATATCTAATTAGTAACTAAAGATGGCTTATAAAGGATTTGGCATTGGATTATGGGAGGATTTTTATAGAAAGAGACTTTGGTTGGACATGAGCCTCGGGTATTCCAGGTAGAAAATGCTTAAAATCTAGATGTTTATTTAACCCTCTGCAGATTTAACTTACCAATACTATTTATTTTCATCCCAAACTTGGATAACTGAGAGCAACATAATAGACTCTTATGAGATTTAAAAATAGCAATATGATTCATGATGTCAGTTTACTTGGATCAGAATTTTAGCTACCATCTCTGTTTTTCCACTTAGTTAATTAAAACAGCCCTGTTTAGTTTCCTGTTTCTTCTACATTTTCATTTGCAAATTGTTTCTGTAAAATTCCAAATCCAAGAATAACTCAAACTACCTAATTGTCTGGCTGTCAGATATGAGTGTTGAGGCTTTTGTTTTGCTCTCTAAATTATGTTCTTTGACCTACAAAATGTGGAAAATTGGAGTTTAGAAATACGACATTAATTCACTTGAAACAAATCAGTAAAATTCAGTCAATTTTATACTGAGGATGACAGGAGAATATAACAGTTAATCATTAAAGTTAATAACAAAAATCTTGGGAAAATGACATGTCTTCATGTTAATTTTTTATAAAAGTATATGCATGCTTGTTAAAACTTTAAAAAGTCTGTATGTTATAAAATAGAAGAAAACTCAGCTATCGAGATTTAGTTTTAACCTTTTGATGTATTTTCTTTTAGTCATTTTATTATGGCTGTATTTTAGAATGTGTATAATCAACACATATATAGCTCACATTTACTATAGGCTATATGTCAGAGGTCCCTTCCTTTTTCCTTTCATCTTAAGAACTGATTTTCAGATTTCTTTTTCAAAGTTAACTTTATTGAGACAGCTGAAGTATAACCCGCCATTGTGAAAGTGTGTGAGTGGGTGGTTTTTGCGTTTGTGAGGTTGCGCGACCACCTTGTCGTTGTGCAGTCACTGAGTGGTGTCTGACTCTGCTCTCTGTGGCCCCAGGCACTGTGGCCTGCCCTTGGTCTTCTCCAGACAGGGACACTGGAGTGGGGTGCTGCTTCCTGCTGTAGGGAATCTCCCCAGCCCAGGGACCCAGCCTGCCTCTCCTGCTTTGGCAGGAGCTGAGCCCCTGGGGACGCCTGTGCACCCACTGCCCATTCCAGAGCGTCTGTCACCTGGATGTGCTGTGGTAATTAGAAACAAGGGGGCCTTATCTGAAAGCGCTTCAAAGAACGGGTTGTCTTTGAGATCAGCTTTGAAGGCCCCGAGTTTTCCACAGTTATTTGCTCTCATTAAAACTCTTGAGTGGCTCTTCAAAGTACTCAACTTAATATTCCTTATATCTGGGCCATGCCAAGTCTTTAGCATCATCTTTTGACTGTGAGCTAGTGGAACCGTAAGTCCTACCTATTACTGAACTTTAGATTGTTTACCCCTTTTTTCATTCTTAGGTTGTTTCATGCAGGAGGGTAAATCTAGACCCTGTTTCTAAAACTTGATCACAGGAGAAAATCCATTTTCTCTTCTTCACTAGATTTTATTTGTTTATTTTAATTTTTTCTTTATAAGTGTGGTTGAAAAGGATCCAGTTGAGTAGTGGTAAGTGTATGCGCACTGTGGAGCAGCAGCTCTCCAGACCTTCTTTATCCTGTAAAAGTGAAACTGTCTGCCTGTTAAACAGCTTCTCGTTACCCCTGGCCTGCAGCAGGCACCATTCTACTGGCTATGAGTTTAAATCCTTTAGATACTTTATATAAGTGAAATCATGTGTTATTTGTCTGATTCTTACTGGCTTATTTCACTTAACGTAATGTCCTCAAGGTTTATGCATGTTGTAGCATGTGATATATTTCCTTTTCAAGGCTGAATAATATTCCGCTCTCTGTCCATGCCACATTTATTTATTCATTCATCTGTTGATTAACATTTGGGTCCCTTCTCTTAGCTGTTGGAATAATGCTGATATATACAATGGGTGTATAAATATCTCTTCAAGATCTTGTTTTTAATTCTTTTGGATGTATACCCAGAAGTGAAATTGCTGGGTCCTGTTGTTCTAATTTTAATTTTTTGAGAGAACTGCTGTACTTCTTTCATACTGGTTGCTCCATTTTACAATCCCACTAACAATGCAGTTCAGTTTTCTTAACTAAGTTTTAGGCTTAAATTTTTTTTATGTTTACTCACTTTTCTGTACCCTAGAGCAATAGTGACAGCTCTGGGGATGGGGGCGTTGTGATGAAGAAGTTGTTGGGAGGAATGCAGCCTAGGTGTTGGGTTTTTGTTAGAATCCCTGGGTTCTATTCTCCTTTAAAAACTGTGGGTGAAAGTTTTCTTCAGCTAGTTGGGAACCATAGTTTATTCTAGTAACTCTCAGATTGTTTCTTCAGCATGGAGTCCTATAGCCTTTATTTCAGGCACAGTGTTCTGCTCTTTCAGTTATTCTTCACTCTGAAGAGAGAAAAAGGAATAACCACTGAGTTTGCTTCTCTATGTTTGAGTGTAGTGACAGTTATCAAGGATTTGTCATTTACGAATAGGGCTTTTGGGGGCTTAGTGGGCTTGGGGCTGAATCCTGCTATGCCTTTCTGTTTTACCAGAATTTTGGTAGTTTCCATGACTGTCAGTGTTTAAAGTTTACTGGTTTGTTTATTCCTTTTTACTTGTTTTGTTTGCTGATAACAAGCTTTCTTTTTTGTTATTTTTAATGTGTGAAGAATATACCTATTCACTCATTTCATCAGGTGATTTGAGAGGGAAGTTCTGTGATGTCTGTTCTCTGAACCTCTAAGTCCACTTGGCTTCCACCCACCTGTTCTTGAAAAGAGTGATTGAAACCTGTTATTGGTACTACCTTCTTGGCTGATAAAATTCTCAGACACTTAAATAAATAAAAGTCTTAAAAAAAAAAAAAGTCTTTCAGTAAGCAGCTTAAAGTAAGAAAAGTGATTGATGTCGTGTTACATTCAAGATGATAACCATAAATAAATGTCAGTAGTGCAGGAAACAAAATTTGAGAAAGAAACCAATTGGTAATAATTCCTTAAAACTGGAAAATGTATCTGTCCTAAATCAATGTATTCTTTGTAATTTTAGATGGTTGTGTGTGAATATTTCATCATGAAATTAGGTAACAAATAGCTTGCTTACTTTCCTAGGAAGAATATGAGGGAAGAAAAAGAATTTTAGGTTAAAACCTAGTATTAAGAAATAAAATTTAAAAAATTTTACTTTTATATCTATAATTGCCCTTTAGTGTCCTTTATCTCTTTTCTGTCAGTGTGTGGAATTTAACTTCTTTTCACTTAATGGAGTGTTATATCATATTCTCTTGCATTGTTCCTTTGATCATAGTAGAGGGATATGGAACCAAGAAAGACTGTATGGGTCACTTGGAGATTTTATCTATAATAAGGGTACCATTTATTACCTATAGGTTTTATGATTAAAGTACTTGGCATATGACACAATGTAAAACAATAATGATTTAACAAAGTTAACTTTTTAAATGCTCCTGATATTTGGAATTTAAAATTTGTAGCCTCTTTTTCCTAATAGTTGTTTAGTAATTCAAACACCATGAAATGTAGCATAGTAATTCATATATAAAAAATATAATGAAATATTATCTTGATTTTATTGCAGCACAGAATATATTCATGATGGGGCTTTTTGAGGTGCTGACAGTCTATAGATTTGATTAGCATATAAGTGTGTACACTTCAAAATTTCATCAAGTTGTATATTTATGCTTTATATACTAGTTTGTATGACTGTTATACTTTGATCAAACTAAAGAAATTGCTATTAAAATATGAATAAACTTACCTTTTTTTTCTCCTTCAAGGAAATGATTATTGACAGAGTTAATGGACAGGCCGTTCCTAGATACTTGATATATGACATAATTAAATTCAATGTAAGTACTTTCTATAATTTATAAAATAAAAATTATCACTGAGATAATTGGTTTTTAACAAATAAAAAGGATTATTGCCTTAGAGATAGTAGAAAAGAAAAATGATGAATCTATCAAGTTACTTATTTGACACCTTGTTAATACTTTTGCATCTCCTTTTCTTTCTCTTTATTACCTAACATTTTGCACATTTCTTGTCTTTGGAGTCTTTAGGAACTTCAAGTGAGTATAATTGTCATAAAATAAGACAGTATTTTGTAAAATGGAAAATTGTCAATTTTAGCTGTGTTGTCCTGGATTTTAAAAAGTCTCCAAATTTTATTACTGTCTATCACTTAAAAAAAGAAAAGAGAAACTGACTATGAGTGTTGATTGTATAACATGGAGGCAGAAAGATGCAGAAAGAAAACAAAATGCAAAACTACCTTTTGTAAATAAATAAAGTAGGAATTATATTCTCTACCTATTTCCTACAATTTTAGACTTACCTATCATCTGCCTGTTAATGCTAATTATGGTGTAATGACTAAACTATTTAGGCAGTACAAGATGACTTCTGTAAATGCAAGAAGTTCTTTCAATAGTGTATATCTATGAAAAGGTATAATTGTTTCTCTAGATATGTTATTCAAATTGCATATCACTTAGTATTCAGACCAGGCTGAAAGCAGTTAATACTTTGGGGATTAAAAGCATAAGTTTTAAGGCTTTGAAGATTTGTAACGAAATTTTTAAAAAGTTCTTTTTTGGGGGATATACATTTTAAATTGCAGTATTAAGATTCTGGATTGTATTAATCCAGATTACTTTTTCTCAGAAATTTTCAATTACATATCTCATATTTTGTTAAGTTTCTATTTCAAACAGAGTTTCAAATTTTAAGAAACTGAAGGTCAGAAACCAAATTTTAATTTTGTTCTCTTTGTAACTACTATATTCCTCAAGAATAATGCATCCCAGGATTGACTTATTCTCATCACCAGTCTTGGATAATGTTCAGTGGACCATAATGAGATGTAAAAGAGTGGGGTTGTGGCCTTGTTTCTTTGTGATTGGGGGCACATTATCTCCTTTGCCTCTTGATAGTGAGCTCTGCCTTAATATTGTTCAGTGCAGGTTCACTTGTTAGCCTGGGAGCTTTGTCTGAGACAACAGCCTTCTAATTCTTTAAAAAAAAAAAAAACATGAAAAATTTTATAGTACACAAAAATATGGAAAATAATATGAGGAATACTCATGTACTGACCTCCCAATCTGTTGAAGTTTAACATTGTCAGTTTTACTCCATTTTCTTTCTAATAAGGAATAAATCATTACAGATTTAGTAGAAGTTTCTTATGCAAACCTCTTTCATTCCATTCATGACCTCCCCTTATCCAGAAGCAGCTTCTACCCTGAAGTTGCTAATTATTCCCATGAATGTTTTTAATACCTTTACCCACTTTAATTAATCAGTATTTTATTACATTGTATGAATAAACAGGGTTCATCTTTTTCCCATCTCTGTTGGACACGTGGGTTTCCATACTTTGTGGTCATGCTAGTGTTGCGTGGAACAGCGTTATGTACCTTTTATTGTGCACGTGTGTCCACGCTTCTCTAAGACAGCTCTCATTCCTGGGATATGATCACCTGCACTGTGCTTGGTTGCCCAGTTGTCTCTCTTTGTGACCCCCATGAACTGTAACCCACCAAGCTTCTCTCCTCTGTCCATGGAATTCTCCAGGCAAGAATACTGGAGTGAGTTGCCATGCCCTCTTCCAGGGAATCATCCCAACCCAGGGATCGAATCCAGGTCTTCCACATGCAGGTCAGAGAACCCAGGTGGGTTTTTTATCGTGTGATTCACCAGGGAAGCCACGATCCCCGGGGAAGCATTTGAAACAGTGCCGTCCCTCATCCCTCATCTGGAGACTCTGATTACGTTGGCGACCACAGCTTTTTTGTTGTGCTGCTCCGTTGCCCTCAGGAGGAGTTGTACCGCTTTACCACAGTTGATATTTTCAGACTAAGATTTTTGGCAACTGGATAGTTTTGTTTTCCCCTGGTTACTAATGAAGTTAACCATATTTCTTTTTTTTTTTTTAATTTTCAAGTTTTTTTTTTTTACTCATTTATTTATTTGTTTTGGGCTGCCCAGGGTCTTCATTGCTGGGTGCAGGCTTTCTCTCGCTGCAGTAGAGCAGGAGGCTGTCTAGTTGGGGTGCTCGACTTCTCATTGCAGTGATTTCTTTTGTTGCGGAGTGCAGACTGTAGGGTGTGTGGGCTTCAGTAGTTGTGGCTCACGGTCTCCAGAGTGCTGGTTCAGTAGTTGCCCTGCAGTATGGGGCATCTTCCCACACCAGGGATTGAACCCATGTTCCTGAGCTTCCCTGGTGGGCATTTCAGGTGGAAAAGAATCTGTCTGCAATGCAGGAGATCCCGCTCTGATCTCTGGGTCAGAAAGATCCCTTGGAGAAGGAAATGGCAACCCACTCCAGTGTTCTTGCCTGGAGAATTCCATGAACAGAGGATCCTGGTTCAGCTACAGTCCATGGGGTTACAAAAGAGTTGGCCACAATTGAGTGACTAACACTTGCACCTGCTTTGGCAGGCGGGTTCCCAACCACTGGACTACTAGGGAAATTTGAAGTTAAGCATATTTCATGTTTATTTTTACTTGCTTGAATTTTTCTTTTGTGATTTAATTGCCAGTCCAAACAATCTTCTAATAGTTATCCTTCCCTGGATTCTAATCCTTTCTTAGTTATATATGTGGCAAATAGTATGTTTTCCAAGTTAATATCTATTGAGGTACAGAATTTTTTTCATTTTAGTGAAATCAAAGTCACTGGATCTCAAAGTTTGTGCTTTTGTGTCTTGTTGAGGAAATTCATCCATATTTTGCTGTAAAAATGATCAATTCATGGTTTTCATCTCTAGGTTTATAATCATTCATTCAATAAGTACTTATTGAGTGCCTGTTACTATTTTTCATTGATTTTAATGTCACATTTTTCATATTTCTGATAATAAGATATAATTGAAAGCATGATATGTTTAATTCTGTAATTTACCATGGAGCTTTCATTGATGGTTTCATTTAGGGCTTCCTGGTGGCTCAACTGGTAAAGAATCTGCCTGCAGTGCAGGAGACCTGGGTTTGATCCCTGGGTTGGGAAGATCCCCTGAGAAGGGAATGGCTACCCACTCCAGTATTGTGGCCTGGAGAATTCCATGGACTGTATAGTCCATGGGATCACAAAGAGGCAGACACAACTGAGCGACTTTCACTGATGATTAACCACTTTGTTTATTTTGATTTATCAAATCAAGGTCACTATGAGAAAAATTTTTTTGAGATAATGGTTTAAAACTTTTTAATCCCTTAGTTTACTATTTTGTCCAGCAGTAATTTCATTGATAATTTTTCATATGTCAGGTATTACTCTAGATGTCAGGAAAACACAGAAGACTCGGACATGATTTCTTGCCTCCAGGGAATTCATGATTTAGTGTCACTCAGTTCAGTCGTTCAGTCGTGTCCGACTCTTTGTGACCACTTGGACTGTAGCACACCAGGCCTCCTGTCCATCACCAACTCCTGGAGTTTACCCAAACTCATGTCCGTTGGGTCGGTGATGCCATCTAACCATCTTATCCTCTGTTGTCCCCTTCTCCTCCTGCCTTCAATCTTTCCCAACATCAGGGTCTTTTCAAATGAGTCAGCTCTTCACATCACGTGGCCAAAATACTGGAGTTTCAGCTTCAGCATCAGTCCTTCCAATGAACACCCACGACTGATCTCCTTTAGGATGGACTGGTTGGATCTCCTTGCAGTCCAAGGGACTCTAAAGAGCCTTCTCCAACACCACAGTTCAAAAGCGTCAATTCTTTGGTGCTCAGCCCTCTTTACAGTCCAACTCTCACATCCATACATGACCACTGGTCATGATTTAGTGTACTGACCTCCAAAAAAGGCTGCTTCCTCAACAGTTCATTGGGATTTGAAAAGAAGAAAGATTTATTCTTAATCTGTTATTCAATTTTTCTCTGCTTTATAATATACAGTTGTGTATATATGCAACTTATTAGAGATTAATGTGCATATATTATACACAATTGTTAGGATATGTGTTTAGATGGTATGCAAAATTAAAAGAAACTTGAATTGCACTTACAAATGGGGATGTAAATTAAAGAAATAATTATAAAAGTATCATAAGTATAATATCAAAGATATTAGGGAGAAATAGGGAAGTATATGGGAGATACATGAGAGGTAGCAGAGAGGTGAGAATATTCCAGGTTACCGTGGGTATAGTTGAGTCATTTGAAGTGTGGAGTTGTAGACAGAGAAAGTGACATACTAATTTTGAAGGAGTGAGCCTAAGAGGTCAGGAGCATTAGATGGGCATTTGTGTACTTGATGTGTGTGACATGCGGGACGTAGCAGGAAGTGAGAATGGATTGGTGGGTCGGGGGCCAGATTCCTTGAATAAGGCGTTCTAGTTCAGTTCTGTATAAAATAGGATACTACTGAAGGGTTTTAGTTATGTTAGTGATGTGATCATACTTTAATTGTTTTGAAAGAAAGCTCCACTGGCAGGGTGGGTAGTGTTGTGACGTAAGAAAGAACTCAAAACAGAGAAGACTTCTGAGAAGTCAACAGTTACTGAGTGCTTCCTATAGTCTGTTCTTTGTACTTCTTCACATATCTATCAGGGACTTCCTTTATGATAGGTAGCACAGATTTGAAGGTGAACTTACTTTCTATATGTAATTTTTAGACTTATTTTATTTCTTAAAAAGAAGCCTTGCTTGTTTCAATGTAATTTATAGGGGTCTGAACTCATCTAATGAATGAACCTGACGTTTTAGGTTTTTCAGCCTTGTTGATGACATAGGTGACATGGAAAAGATTGCAGATGGACTACATGGTTATTTACTAACTACCATTTCCTCAATAAACATCTTTTAGGAACAGCTGTATGCCTTTATATAAAGGAACATATTCTACCTCATATCTAGCTCTCATTCACTTTGTTTTGCTCTGTGTTTTTTTGCCGAGTATCAAAATTGTCATCCTTCCAAAGTTGAGAAAAAGTCATCCTTGAGGCGTATTTAATGTTCACAGCTTAAGCAAGTGTTGCCACCTCTTTGTAAACAGTAGGTTGGGTAAATGTTAGGTTGAGTAATACAGATTAGAGAAGAGGAAGAAGGCAGAAAAGATAGGGAAAATGCTGAGAAGGATATCTAATGGTGAAGAGAAGAAGAGAGTACTTGGTATCGCGTTGAGGTGATGCTGCTTATCTGGACCATTACTGTCACCCAAGTGAAGTGTTACAGCTATATTTGTATATCCAGTCAGGAGAGGGCAGGCCCCTACCCTCAGCTCGTGCAAAAGCATGACGTGTGCTTTTTATTTCCTCGTTCAAACCATGTATACATGTCATATACGTGCGCCTCTGGCTGCGTGCATGCTCAGTCACGTCCAGCTTTTTGCAGCTGCATGGACTGTAGCCCATCCTCTGTCCCTGGAACTTTGCAGGCAAGAATGCTGGAGTGGGTTGCCATTTCTTCCTCCAGGGACTCTTCCTGATCCAGGGATCAAACCCACGTCTCCTGTGTCTCCTGCATTGGCAGGTGGATTCTTTACCACTGAGCCACCCAGGAAAGCCATCATGTATGCGTACCATAATATATGTACTGTGTATATACATGGGGAAGAGTGGGTTACTTTCTTTTTTGATTGTATTTTACAAACTTTGTTCTTTATTAGTTTTCAGAGTTGATAGTGTATTTCTTTAATAAATGTCTTCTACTTCTTGATGGCTGTAAGGTGTTAGCATTTTAAACAACAAAACGATGTTTGTGGGTTTTTTTTTGCTTATTTTGGTGTGTTGTGTACATATACTTTCCTACCTACTTGGATTTTGGTTTTTATGCAGGTTTTACTAATTCGTATAAATAATAGTGATTAGTGAGTATATTAGTACTTTAATTCAGATGTGAAACCTTTGGATCGAAAATTTGTATTTGAGGAGATTTATAATGTTTCCTATATTCTTTTATATATTTATAATTTAAATAATTTTGTGTATGTGTATTTGCATGTTTAGGTGTGCTTCTATCTTTAGTCTGATTATCAGGGCTGGCACATCCGGAGGTGCAGGCTGTGTACTGCACAGCTCCAAAGGGTGCTGTTTATATAGACTGCTGTGTATAGTGTGACAGCCTGGATAACTATGTGGATACGATAGTTTTTAGTGTTGAAATTTAAATAATTGTCTGGTTTAATTCAGGCACAGCCGGTTGGAGATTGTGATTTTAATATCCGTCTGCAGTGTATAGAAAGAGAAATAATAAATCCTCGACATGAAAAAATGAAGACAGGGCTCATTGACAAAACACAGGAACCATTCAGTGTCAGAAATAAGCCATTTTTTGACATCTATGCGTCAAGAAAGGTAAAGTTTTCTAATTAGTACTTACAGTGTATCAAAATTTAACTTGTGAAAGGAATATGAATGACATTTTGAGGCCCTCTTGTCTTGATTTTTCCAGAAATTACTTGAATATAGCACTGTTTTAGACAGACATGTAAAATTCTCAAGTCTGCACATTCATAAGATTCTTTTTTTTTTTTTTTAAATTCAAGTATAGTCGATTTACAATGTTGTGTTAGTTTTGGGTGTACTGAAAATTAATTCAGTTACATATATGTATGTGTATACATTCTTTTTCATATTCTTTTTCATTATGGGTGATTATATGATGTTGAATATAGCTCTTTGTGCTGTATGGTAGGTCCTTGTTGTTTATCTGCTTTATCTTGGTAAGATTTTAGTGATGGGCGCTTAAGTTGATCCTTGTTTCTCATAATAGTATTTGATTCATGGTTGTTGGTTTATTTTTTTTTAAAAAGCTGTGAAGAGTATAGAATTGTATAAAGTGAAAATCACCTGTTAGGCTTTCTGAAGGTCAGCAGTGTTCAGTGTGTAGTCTTATTTAAAAAACGAGTTTATGTATCTGAATGTATGTACATACACATGGAGAGCTTTCTTTTGTTATTGCCTTTTTGTTGTTTTGACACTGAAAATGCATCATACTAAATAGTCTGGAACTTCTTTCACTTAGCAGTACTTGGAAATATTTCCATGTCATGCAAAGAGATTTGTAACTGCTGCATAGTATTTGACAGTAAAGATGCACCATGGAATTATTAGGTTTCAGAAGAGGGGTGGTTAGGATAGAAGAATACAGGAAATAAAGCAACAGGAGTAATTACATGTTTTAAATTTTTTTCTGGTCTAATCTCACATTTGGATAATATAAGTTTGTGTTGTATTTGAACTGCTTCTGCTCAAGTCTGCTCAATTTGGTATAGCCCTTGGATATAATATTAGTGATAATCTTAGCACGTTGAATGCCTATCTTTTTTTCTCAGCAGATACAAACTTACCATTCCACTTTCACATTTTGTATAGTGCCTGCTGGGCATGGTCCCGTTGGTTGACTTCTGGTGCCACAGCCTTCCTGCAGTTCACTGCTTGCCTTTTCTGTCTGTTCTGGCTGCAGGAATGGGACGCCTGTAAGAACCGAACACTTCTGTGCCCTGCCCAGTTGGTAGGGAAAGGATTATGTTAACATTTAGTGCAGGTCACACCCTTCATGGAAATCTGCTAACTGGAGCTATGTACCATTATAGAGATATTTTCTAAATTATTAATACAGCATGAAAGTTGAGCAGAAGCCAGATTCTTTCAGTTTGCATTCATTTTTTAAAAAAACCATTTTGACAGCTTGTGCTGTCATAATTCAAAGTTTAGTGTTTAAGAAAATGTGTCTTGGTGTAGTTTTATTAGTCAGAATCAGTGCTGCTTAGAAATGCTTAGAAGATTGCTCTTTGGGGATCTTAAGCAGTTATGTTGAACAACCTCTCACGTACTTTTTCACTAGAAAAACATGATGCACTTATTTTCCTTTGTACTTATGAAATCCCACTTTGAAATTACCATAGGAAATTTTTTTAAAGTAGTTCTAATATTTGGCATTTTAAATATAAGTCCCCTTTCCTTCCCTTTTTAGTTATCACTGTTATTTTTTGTTCTAAGTTTCTCTTACCAAAGTGTAGAGATGTGGAATATAGAGGGAAGGCACGTTTTGTGGCAGAGTAGGTCTAAAGCAGGCTGTGCTAACACCAGTTTTAGAATAGTAACTACGGTGGACAGGTTAATGCTCTGGAGAGTCTTACTATATTTATCTTTGTTAATGGGAATTGTAAAGTAGTGATATTATGAATGATGTGGCATTCAGTTTATCTTGAGTCTCCTTTGTGCCAGTTTTGGTACATCGAGATCTCCTTCAATCTTAGATGCACAGATTTCCATCTTATCATTGTACCATACTTTACTTAACTAACCCATAGTCATAGACATTAGGGTTATTTTTAGCCTGCTGATAGGTTTTTGTTTGTTTTGAATATGGATATCCAGTTGTTCCTGCAGGAGGGAAATATGTATCATTTTTATGAGGAAGGCTAGGTTTTAGATAGTTTTAAACAAAATTTGTAATTCTGAAAAATGCATACTTTTGGGTAGAAAATAGTAGAATTTAATTTCTGTCTATTTATAAAATCTTGAACATAACTGTGATTTTAGAATTTTATTAGCACAAACTCTATAAAGAGCCTCTTCATTTTGTCTAATTTGATCTGTCAAACTAGTGAAGGAATAATGAGTTGTTCAATTTTTAACTTAATATACATGCATAGATGTTAGAATGCAGCATACTAAATAGTATTAATAAGTAGCAGTTTCTTAAATTACAATTTTATTTGCATTTCCAGTTTGAAGGCCAGTTAAAATAGAATTATATGAATAGATTAAATATGGTTAACAAAATTTTTAAAGTCAGACAATAGATAGTTTCTATTTATCATCTTAGAAGAGTAACCATTGCTATCAGCGTTTCTTGTATCCATCAGAATTTCTTTATATAAGCAAGTACATTTATTTATATTTTTACTACCCTTACCCAGGAGGTGATTCTTAACCTCCTTTCCTATACTTTGCCCTTTTATTAAACTTGATTTATCTTGAGTCTCCTTTGTGCCAGTTTTGGTAACATAGAGATCTCCTTCATTCTCTTTTTTTTAATAGATGCACAGATTTCCATTTTATCATTGTACCATACTTTACTTAACCAATCCATAGTCATAGATGTTAGGGTTATTTTTAGCCTGTTGATAGGTTTTGTTTGTTTTGCATTTGGATATCCAGTTGTTCCTGCACCAAGTATTGATGAGATGATCCTTTTTTTTTGTTGTTCATTGAATTCCTTTGCGTCTTTATAAAAAATAAGTTGTCATGTATGTCTGGACCTATTGCTAAACGCTTTGTTCTGTGCCCTTGATCTGTTTTATCTGCTTTGTGGTGGTAGTGTCTTGACCGCTTCTGTCTATAGTAGATCTTGAGGTCAGACAGACTTAGTCTTCCAACTTGGCCCTTCTCTTTGAAGCTGTTTTGGCTGTTGTGGGCATTGTGTTTCCATTGGCTCCTCTTTCTCCACTTTGTTCTTGTTTATTATTTTACTTTTAATCAAGACTCGGTGTTCAGTGTTGTCGAAGGGCTTCTTATCTACTGTAAATCTATGATAGAATATAGTTTTCTTTCCAGCTTACTTTTATTTACTTTATGAATTAAACGGAAATATATCTTAACACTGAAGCTTTGTTTTGTTCCTGGGATAAGCCCTACTTAGTCTTAATATATTATTATTAATTTATCTTTTGAAAATGCTTTATTTTTTAGAGCCGTTTTAGGTTAATGACAAAATTGAAAGGAAGGTGCAGAGAGTTTTCTTCTACCTCCTGCCATCACACTTGCATAGCTATCTTCTTTAGTAAACTCCCCATTTTGTTCTTTCATGTGACTAAGCCTGAACTGGGATTATCTCCCACTTGCAAAGTTCTGTTTCGTCTGTTAAGTTATTTCTACTAAGTTGTCTTCATTTCCTGCTTGTTTGCCTCTCTCCACTCCATACCTTTCTCTTATGAGTAGTTATGTTCCCTCGAGAGGTGTATGTAGTTAGCATTTAACTAGACCATGCACGGCATCGATCTTGAATCATTTTAGGAAATTATGGTTGATTAAAAAAAGATAAGCAATACCTCAAGAAACAAGAGAAAAATCAAATAAATAACCTAACTTTACACCTAAAGTAACTAGAAAAGGAAAAAATGAAGAACCCCAGGGTTAGCAGAAGGAAAGAAATAATAAAAATTAGGGCAGAAATAAATGAAAAAGCAACAAAGGAGACTATAGGAAAAATGAACAAAACTGAAAGCTGAGATAATAAATAAAGATAAAGAAATATCTTGAGAAGATAAATAAAATAGACAAACCATTAGCCAGACTCGTCAACAAAAAAAAGGAGAAGAATCAAATCAACAGAATTAGAAATGAAAATGGAGAAATCACAACAGACAACACAGAAATACAAAGGATCATAAGAGACTACTATCAGCTAATAAAATGGACAACTTGGAAGAAATGGACGAATTCTTATAGAAGTATAACCTTCCAAAACTGAACCAGAAAGAAGTTGAAAATCTTAACAGACCCATCACAAGTATGGAAATCAAACTGTAATCAAAAATCTTCCAACAAACAAAAACCCAGGACCATATGGCTTCACAGCTGAATTCTACCAAAAGTTTAGAGAAGAGCTAACACCTATCCTACTCAGACTCTTCCAGAAAATTGCAGAGGAAGGTAAACTTCCAGACTCATTCTATGAGGCCATCATCACCGTAATACCAAAACCAGACAAAGATGCCACAAAAAAAGAAAACTACAGGCCAGTATCACTGATGAAAATAGATGCCAAAATCCTTAACAAAATTCTAGCAAACAGAATCCAACAACGTATTAAAAAAATCATACATCATGACCAAGTTGGCTTTATCCCAGGGATGCAAGGATTCTTCAATATTTGCAAATTAATCAATGTAATACACCACATTAACAAATTGAAAGATAAAAACCATATGATCATCTCAGTAGATGCAGAGAAGGCCTTTGACAAAGTTCAACATCCATTTATGATAAAAACCCTCCAGAAAGCAGGCATAGAAGGAGAACATCTCAGATATCTTTCAACATAATAAAAGTCATATATGATAAACCCACAGCAAACATTATCCTCAGTAGTGAAAAATTGAAAGCATTTCCCCTAAAGTCAGGAACAAGACAAGAGTGCCCACTCTTACCCCTACTATTCAACATAGTTTTGCAAGTTTTAGCCACAGCAATAAGAAAAGAAAAAAAAAAAAAAGAATACAAATTGGAAAAGAAGTAAAACTCTCAACTGGTTGCAGATGACATGATACTCTACATAGAAAACCCTAAAGACACCACCAGAACACTACTAGAGCTAATCAATGAATATAGTAAAGTTGCAGGAT